TTTTTTTTTTTTTTTTTTTTTTTTTTTTTTGCGGTACGCGGGCCCCTCACTGCTGTGGCCTCTCCCGTTGCGGAGCACAGGCTCCGGACGCGCAGGCTCAGCGGCCATGGCTCACGGGCCCAGCCGCTCCGCGGCATGTGGGATCTTCCTGGACCGGGGCACGAACCCGCGTCCCCTGCATCGACAGACGGACACTCAACCACTGCACCACCAGGGAAGCCCCCTAGTAATAATCTTGTATGACAAAGTGAGGATTTTATGATCCCCAACACTGAATTTGCTACAGACTTTTCACACTTGAGGCACAATTATGACTTTATGTGCTTCAAATCTGCATCCTGCAATAGCCTTTTATGATGACTTGCCAGTGCTTCTCCAGCTCCGTGTCCCACGCCACCCTCCTCATACACGTATAGGGAAGTGGTCTTGCAAAATTAATCCTACCCATTATAAGTGTACAATATAATACCTTACTTATATAGTTACAATTGAAGAAGGGCTATTATTTCATAATCATGATGTGAATGATGCCACCTTATATTCCCTTAAGACAATTACCTCTTGTCCTACATGCCTTCATACAGTTCTTCAGCTTCCTTCAGCTGCTTGTCTCTCTCTTGGTTTATATGGTCATGTTTTCTTGGAGACAGAGAACTGGCCTATTTGAATGTTTTCCCTATTCAGGAATTTAAAAAATCAACTTATCAAAATAATTTTCTTTTTTCTCTTCTGAACCTTTTTACTTGGGGCTACTCATACTGATTTCTAATTTCCAATGTGAAGTCTAATAATATCTAGGCATAGCTAATTAAGATGACAGAGTCTCAGGTAGTTTTTTTTTTCATATTTCTCCTTTCACCACTATCTACAAATGGACACTTAATTATTATTTACTATTTATGATCGTGATAATGAAGATTAACAACAGAATTTGTTAAGGATAATTGGCAGGGCACTAATACCACAAATCATTTAAATTATCAGAGCTCTCCAACAAGAGGTCTGGGTTGGGTAAAAAACCCAAAATCTAGGGAAATTTTTTAAGATTAAAACTGTATAGCCTAGGAGAGAGAATGTTATAGAGGTTAAAAATCAGCTATTATTTGTTCATTATTCCTTCATTCTTTCATTCAACCAGAAAGTGTAGATTAAACACCTTTTCTCAAAAGCTTAGTACTACAAAACATCCAAGAGTTATCCCTGCTAGGCTGTCCAAAAATAAAGCATTAAAAGTATCAAAAACAGCTGTCTCCTTGAATATATACTTGTTATTGGAAGGTCCATGTGTACTTTGACTAAATGCTAACTCTAAAACAAAAGAATTTATGACACTGACAGGGTGAAACATTGATTCAATAACAAAGTTCTGTTTAGATGATGCAAAAAAGGTTAAATAGGAATGGAGGCATAGGTACCTAAATGTTAAGTAGTCTTTACTTCTGTTACAAACATCATGTTCTGAGTTTGAAGTGTTTCCTAGCTTCCTCTAGTAGTCATTTAAAATCTTGAAACCTAGTTCATAAAAATCTGGACTGCTCTAAGAGTCCATCAAAGCACTTGATAGTTGTGTAAGTGTTTTATTAAAAAATTGAGTTATAAGGCCAGAAGGGAGTGGCATGACATATTTAAAGTGCTTGAAGAAAAAAAAAAACAACTATAACCTAGGATTCTCTACCCAGCAAGGTTATCATTCATAATTGAAGGGGAGAGAACAAGCTTCTAGGGCGGGAAAAAACTGAAAGTGTTCATCTATACTTAACTGACCTTACAGAAGTGTAAAGGATCTTCCTTAAGTGAAAAGGGAAAGGCTACGACAAGAAATATTAAATGAATGAATAAATGGTGAAAAAGTTTTTAAATTTTTTGTGAAGATTTTGTTCATATGTATTTATTATAGTTTGAATATTTAGGAAGAAAGAGCAAGTTCTATAAGGGCAATTTCTATACTTTTCCCCAAGGAAAAAATGTATATAAGTTGAAAATGAGGGATTATTGCCCTGCCAAAATTAAAAGTTGTAATTTTTTTGGAGTCAATTTAAAAGTAACTTCTTCGCTCCTAAGAATATATTTTTACATTACCATTTCTTAATTACTTTATTTGGTAAACTAATAAAAATATATTTTAGTTTAATGCTTGTATTCATTAGTATTGAATTAAGCAGGAACATCTATATAAGTGTTTATCATGAAGCTGTTCTAAAAGTGTTCCATGAGGGTCCTAGTTCCTGTTATACTATTGACCATAAATAAAAAGTAAAAATATAATTGCCCACTAGGTGGCAACAGTATTCCAAATTGTTCTACTAATACACACCTACAGAGTAGGGGAGTTTTCCTAAATGCTCGTGATACATATGAAGAGGATGAGTTCTGTCCCTGCCCTCAACTAGCTCACAGTCTGTATTCTGCAGCTCAAATATACGTACTTTCTGTTTTTTTTCATTTCTTTTTGGTCGTTAAAAATTCTAAGTATAGACTATTCTCAAGTATCAGAAGAAAAAGTGAGTTTATTATAGCCATTTTGCCAGTGTGGAGTCTGAGCTACCAAGTGTTATGTGCTGTGCCTGGAAGCAAATTATGAGCTTAGTGTCACAACCCCCAGTCCCCAAAGGTAAATCTAATAGACATTCTATGATAGTTTTTCTGCTAGAAACATATGTGGTTTCAGGCATTGCTTTTTTTCATGATTTTTCTCAGCCTCCAGACAATTAAATTAATTGTCAGCCTCCAGACAATTAAAACTGGATTAGATAGCAGCTGTGCTTTAGGGCATCCAGTTCACATTTATTACATTTACTTCATAGTCTACTTTCGCCCTAACTAGTGGCAATAGAATTGCAAGTTGATGGGAACAATCTTACTCTTATCATCTGTACATTTCAGTATACTCCATTATGATATTTAAATATATAACATATTATTAAAATAACATTAAAGGGAACATAGAATTATCCCATATTCTCACATCCTGAACACAAATATTTTCTATTTCTCTATGCTTCCTTAGAATCTTTATTAAGTAAAGTACCCATAACATCTAAAATTTTTCACTTATAGATCATAAACCATTTCCATTTTGCAGCCTAATCTTTATATTTATCTTTTTATGTGGCATCTTAATATTTAGTTATAAAGAAATGTTATAATTTATTTTATTTCTATGGTGGACGTAGGTTGTTTCTAACTTTACCTGTTGTAATTAATTACAGAATATATGACGTTCTGGATGGGCTTTAGTTCAGATATTTTGTTTAATTCTATCTCTAAATATGTACTCTCATATTTTTCAAAACATGTGTTCTGAATTTGATTCCCAACTCCTGTCAAGAACCATGTAAATGTGTGTTTTGTGTGTGTGTGTGTGTGTGTGTGTATGTGTGCGTGAGCACACCAACAGTTTTATTCTGGGAAGTTGACTTAAGGAAATAGTTCAAACACACAAAAAATGTCCAAGTAATCCAATGTTATGATGTTTCTTCATATGTTAGCATAACTTTATTTTTGGTAACTAATGCTTTACTTTTTTTTTTCTTTTTGCATTTCTGTGACCAAATAACTGACATAGAGTTCATTTGGGGTATAAGTTTTCGATCTAAATCAATTTTCCCTATACAGCACTACAATTATCCCTCCCTACAATTATATATATATATAATATAAATAATATTAAATATTATTTAATAAATAAATTTATTATTTATTAAATAATATTCACTTTCCTGGAATTATGTGATTCTTATTTTACTGAATGCTTAAATATAATATATAAATGAGTTTATTTGGATTTTAAGATTCCATTTTATTTATGTTTGTTTTTGTTTCAATATTGCATCATTTAATTATTGTTACTTTATCTGGAAGAACTACTGACTCCTGGCAGTTCTCTCACCTTTATCATTATTATTCTCTTTTAGAATGTTCTTTACCACTTACTTTCTATTTTTGTTATATAAAACAGCTTTTAATGATTTTCATTGCAATAATACCAGATCAGCAAATGGGCTGGTTAAGAAATTATTTTTCTTAACATTTTTATTCTGAAGTAAAACATGCTCATTGTAATTAAAATTCAAACAGTAATAAAACATAGAACGTGAAAGTCTGCTCAATCATGTACCCTTTAGAGGAAACTAGTATTACCAGTTAGATACTTGTCTTCCCAATCTTTATATATAGTATGTATACAAAAATTATACTATTCTGCAACTGGTTTCCATCATTCACAATAGATGGCAGGGCCTTTTAGTCGCTGTTCGTATAAACTTACTTCACTTTTTCAAGTGGCTGAACAGTCTTTTATTGAACAAATGTACCATAATTTATTTAATGAATTCTTTATAGACATTTAACTTGTTTGAAGTTAAAAATTTTTTATTCTTATAAGGATTTTTACAAGGAATATCATGTATTTCTATGTAGTTGAGAATTTATTTCTGAGGTCTAAATGTTCTATCAGGAGAATTGCTAAGTCAGAGACTGTCTTCAGTTGTGATAGATACTGACAAACCAGGTGTTCTAAATTACTGTTTCATCTACAGAATATAATAATTCCTATTTCCAAACTAGTAAATTTAACAAATTTTGAAGGTCCAAGAATATCTTTTTCTACTTGGGTAAGCACTGTGTGGAACATACCCTTTCCTCTTGTTCTGTATGTATTTTGACTGACCCACTGGAGAAACAGGTTTATGATTCTAACCTGATACTTGGA